CAGACTTCTTTTCCAAATCTACTCTCATTTACCCTCCATGTGGTTCTTTTGTTATATATGCATTCAAATGATGCAGTCTTCCCCACTGAGCAGCTTGGATGCTGGTGGTAGTGTGGGAAGCATCATTAGAACCCAGGTGAGAGTCCTAGTTCCACTGTCTAGCACTACCCAGCCAGGAACAGCCATGACTGGGAAAGTCTGACTCTCCAGGCTGGAGAGAGTGCATGAATTCCTGTTCTATGTAGGAAATGTGACAGGATGGAGGATGCTCAGTGAGCATGGAGCTTTACTTAAGCCACTGGTTCCTAGCCTTTTCAGTCAGGGCACCCTCTACCACTTTCTTAAATTGTGGCAGCAGTTCCAGTTGTGAACTACTGTTGTGCGCAACTTGCCTTAGTGCTTCTGTACCAGGTACTGCTGGCAGGTACAACTGTCTCATGTGCCTGCTGCATGTGTGCATGCTCCTCTTGGGGGGGTGCCGGGAAGGGCTGGAGCATAGATGAGGACTCCTGTCTGCTTCCGGCTTATCAGAGAGCTCTAGTACAGGAGGAGCACATGTGTGCTGCAGCCCTGAATTCTAGGGATTTCTCCCTGGCTGTGGCAGCAGCAGGGATGGTGCCTGTGGGGCATCTTGTGGCACCCCAACTGAGAACCGTTGACCTAAGCCCTAGCATGTCTTTATTGAATATGCCCAAATGGCTTATTTTTTCAGTCTGACACTGTGCAAATTTGGCCAGGTTATTCCGTGAGGATGTCAGAAAGCCAAATCCTTGAAATTAAGGCCACCTCATGCCAAATCTCAAATTCCTGCCCTGAAGCATGAGGATGCCTGAGCCTCTCAAAGAAAAGGTAGCTGGAAGTCTCTGAAGTGGGCAAAATGTTTTGGCTGAAGTAAAAAGTCCTGAGGTCAACACCTGCCACATATTTGCACAGCTTGAACACTAATTTAGCAAAAGGGTTTTTTTTGCTTGTTTTTTTAATAAAGCAATTGAAGTTTGACAGTGGCAGGAGTTTACCAGCCTGGTTGGTGGTACTGCCAGCCCTGCTTGTCATGGCTGCTTCAAGTTGTGTGTTTCTGGTTCATGCCCACAGCTCTGGAGGAGTGAAGAGGGGAGAGGGAATTAATCTCTTACTTCAAGTGGGAGGAATTCCTGCTTGTGGTGTGGAAGGCCTCTGGTTTAAAGCTGAGGTTGAAGCAGGCTTCTCAACTACTTTTAGGTATGATGAAAAATTAAGTTTCTCTTTTGCATCACATCTCATTTTCAGGTTTCTTTTCAGTTTGGTATAAATGCTCCCAAATCCAAACTGTGAAACAAAGCCAGGGAGGACAGCTTTATTAGTGACAGGCCTAGAAAATCTATTCACCTGGAACTTTGTCTCAAACTCTGTTTCCTTTTTGTCTTGGATTAGGAGGAGACTTAAAGTATGGATATGGATGAATCCCTGGTTTACATACGCTCTGTTGTGAGTACATGGCATTTGGCTAGTAAGAGAGATGTTCCATTATGAATGTTATATAAGTTTAAATGTTATATTTAAACTGTTTAACACAAGTTCTTTCTACCTCTTAGTCCAGCAATCCTTATTTTGGCAATTGTCCTTGCCTGCTGTGATAATGCCCGCAGAAAATTTCCATTGAACTTAATTTTATTGGCAATATTTGTAAGTACTTTACTAGAATTAATGAAGGTCTCTTATTGTCTATGCTCCATTTCCACTAATGTGTGTTATTTCTATTCCAGTAGCTGATTAGGGGCCCCTTATGCTAGGTAC